TGGCTGCTGCTCTTCCAGAGGACCCAGGTTTGATTCCCAGCATCCATGCAGCAGCTCACAACCATCTGTGACTCCAGTACCAGGGAATCCTATGCCCTCTCCTGGCCTCATGGGGCATGGCACCAGGCACACACCCGGAGTGCAGATGCACAGGCAGGCAAACAAAACATTCACACATGTAAAATCAAAATGATAATAATAATAATGTAAATATAAATGTCGCTTGCATAATGTGACAGCTTTGAATGCATTAGCTGTTAACACCCTTGTAATCCTACCCCAGACTTAGCAAATTCCCCTTCTGCTGTGCATTTTGTTCATCCTGTGAGTTCTTTCCAAATAAGCAGCTATTCCTGGGAGGAACATTCTGCCCACTCTCATATTTTGCTGAGGGCTCTGGAGATCTTTGAGATCCTCTAGGGCTTTCCTCTTAGAGTATCCAAGGACAGCTGAAAGGTGACAAAGTAGGAACACAGCCAGCAGCTTGCTACATTCTTCATCTTCATGTCCAGTGCACAACCAGGGCCAGCACAGGCCAGCCCATCCACTTAGCATCTCTGTAGACCAATGTACATCCATAAAACCACAAATTCCAAAATTACCATCGAAGTCAACTTTACTGTCTAACAAGGTAGTTTGGTAAACAATATACCCCTCCTTCCCTCAGCCAACCTGAGACTAACGCATACCCCAGAAAAATCATTATTCCAAGACCTCTCCCTTTGAGATGTTTGGGGTCTTGTCACACAGTGATTGTGTGACAACCTCAGATGAGATACCACCCAAATCTTGTAACCCTCCCCTGCCCCAGGACCAGTCTCAAGCTCAAACGACCCTAATTCCTTCCTTTCCCACATCCCAAGACTAGCCAATACTGTCCACTAATTGAGTGCTGTTTTCCAGAGCTTTTAAAGCATGAACCATTTTAACAACTCCCTACCAAGTAGGATCTATGTCTCCATTTAACAAAGGGGCAGGTGGGAGAGAATGTTGGGTTGGTCTGAGTGAGCCATACTTCTCCTTTGGCAAATCCCTTGCTCTGAAAGGGTGGGGGTGATCATGTGGGGTGGGATTTCACAGCTTTGTGACTGCCATTCATTCTGTGACTCTCAGATGGCTCCAAATGTCAACAGCGGGACACCTAAATTCCGCCTCCTATTCAATCTCTCAAATAAGCGAAGAAACACAGTGGAAAGGGGGAGCACAGTGCAACCTGAAAAGCCTTTGTCATCATGGGGCTCAGCAGATGACCTGGAGAAAATGCAGATACCACAATTAAGAGGCCTGAGTCTGCTTCAGACTGAAGCAGTCTTCAGATGAATCCTTCCGCCCACAAGGGAAAGGTGGAAGCAACAGACCCCCACCAAAGACAGACAGGCTTCCCCCCAGAAATAGCTTATTCCTCCCTGGGCGAACACAAGAGCCACGGGTTCCCTCTCTCTTCAGAACCCCAACACTAGGATTGGCAGGGTGGGTGTGCACAGACAGTAGATGTGAATCATCCTTCTTACAGTCCTGTGAATTGTGAAAGAGTCAGACACACATAAAAAAAAAAAAACACCATGCTATCAGTATTGTGCCAGCGGGAGGAAGAAAGATACAAGCAGCTCAAAGTGACTGATGATTTAAAATCTCAGGGGACTGGTGTTTTTGCTCACGAGACATGTGAGTGTACGATGAATGACTTTTGTCATCACGAGGGGCATGACTGCACATGATGAATCGGGAGCAATAGCTCTGCAAATGACGGTGTTATCAGCGATCTTTAGAAGAAAACATCCTCTCGCCCTAACATCCTACTGCCTCTGGCCTGCACTAACCTTGACCTGTTAAAAACCAAGCCGCCTCAGGGGTAGTTGTGAAGGACTGGGGGCAAACTGTGTGGGGGTTGCATAAAGCAGGAAGAGGTAGAGAGAATGCCAAAGCTCCATGTTTTGAGTCAATGAGAAGCCCTTCTGCAGAGACACACATAACCAAGCACGGGACCAGTTGTAATACTTGGCCCCTGCTCCAGACATGCAAATCCAGGCACCACATAGAGCAGCTAACAGTTCTAGAAGCCAGAGGTATCTGCCGCTGGATCCCTTTCCAAGCTGTGTCAAGTGATGCAAAGTATTACTGGGCAATGATGATGCGTGCCTGTGATCCTGGGACTTGGGTGGCTTGATCAGGAGGATTGGGAGATCAAGACTAGCCTGGGCTACATAGAGACTCTGCCTCAAAAACCAAAACACATGTAACGACACCTGTTTCCTTATGCTCTAAGGTGAGTCTGCCCAGAAACCTGTGGGTAATGTCAGTTGCCTAGATGCTCTTAATCAGGTTTCTGGGAGTGGGATATTCTTAGTCAACTTCTCATTGACTTAGACCTAACCAGAAATCTCTTTGGATTTTTTTTTTTTAAACATTGGAAATACTTCTGATATGTTGACTGTCTTGTCTTTAGCAAGAACAGCTGAATGCTGGAGCAGACATTTGGTGAACTGGGGTTCTGTATGGCATGAGGTTTGGTGTTCTAGGTCCACAATGATTATTTATCCCTCCTCTCTAAAATGACATACAGCACCCTGGAAGGCCATATTCTCAGTCTTTCTCACTCCCATGCCTCCTAATTTAAGGTATATGGCATTATAGATTTGACCCGATTAATCAAGCCTTTTGTGACGGAAAAAGAGTAACAATGACTAGATGATGGCTGACTGGCATCTCTAGGAGACTGGAAAGACTTGACATTAGTGCCTCGAGGGACAATTAGGTCTACCTGAGAATGCATGTGTCCAGGGGAAAGTTAGGTAGGCTCAGTGGGGAAACAAAGACACGTGTTCATGACATTGTAGAAGAAATGAGCCCTAAAGTCAGTAATCCAGGAGATTCTCTTTCCTGAACATCAAGACAGGAATGGTGGCACACACCTTTAATCCTAGCACTCAGGAGGCAGAGGCAGGTGGATTTCTGGGTCAGAGGCCAGCTTGGTCTACAGATTGAGTTCCAGGACAACCAGGGCTACGCAGAGAGAGCCTTCCTCAAAACAAACAAAGAGTAGTGTTTATCATGTAGTATGTGCTAAATAAACAGAGGCCTGCATACACAAACTGTTCTATACAGGTTTCCTCTGATCACCATTCATGGGTCTGTCCTCTGCTCATCCACATCCCCAACCTCCTCTCCACCCAATATTTAAGCACTTATCCTAGATGAGATTCTGTACCATAGGCTACAGGGGATTTGATGGTAAATAAGATGCAGCATCTCTCTCATCCATCTTTGTAGAACTTTGTAACGGAGGGATACTAAGGGGCAGACTACATAATATCCAGAATACAGACTACATTCTCATTGCTTGGATACTGTTTGCCCCTCAAGCAGTTCATGTCCTGGGGCCTTGGTTCCCATGATGACAGTATTGAGGTGGTGGACTCACACTTAAGAAATGTGGACTAATAAAAATGCACAGTATGGATTCCACCTTCTGGAGGGATTAATGCTGGTCTTGCAGAATGGTCTGGGTCTTGTGGGGATGGCTGAGTTCATTTGGATTGACATACACGTGTCTGGCTTCTCTGTCTCATTTCCTGTCTTATGAGTGGAGCACTCCCCAGGTGCATCTGACATGTAATGTTCCCCTGAAGTCCTCATCAGAAGGCAAGCAGGTGCTGGTAAGATGCTCTTGGCCTCCAGAACTATCAGCAACAAATCTCTTTTATTTTGAACTTAGCCTTGGGTATTGTGTTAGAGCAAAAGAAAATAGACCAAGACATTCCTCTATCTTTACTACCCTAAAGACCTTTTGCATTTGGCAAATCCTTGTTACCGCTTTATTGAAAACCCAGTCTGTGTGCTTCCAAAACAAAATGTCCATTTTCCTGTCCAGAGGGGTCAGACTGTGGTCCCTGCCACAGCAGAATATCGCACTGTCTTCGACAATGATTTGTTCTGACACAGTTTGGGCTTGTTTTCTTGGTATCCAACCGAATTAAAGCCTTTCCAGCCTTTCTTAACCCTACTCATATACTTCTTTTTTTTGAAGTGGCAAATGTTCCAAAAGAGTAAATATAAAGCTGTAGCCACTTCAAGGTTGGGATCTCCTAGAAGGCAAGTCATTTCCAGCCTGCTCAGTTCCGGACACCTGTTAGAATGGTATTTGGGGACAATTCTCCACCCCTGCTCTCCCCCAATGTTCTCTTGCTGCATTTCAGAGTAAAACAAAACTTCTCCTCTCTGGGTAACTTAAATTAGGATCCCATGAAAGACTTTGGGCATTCATTATCTTTAGAAAGAAACATGAACATTTCTTTAAAATATGCAGGTGGTTCTCCTTCCATTTCTGTGTGTTTTGTTTTGACAGTGTCTCATTATCTCACCCAGAGTCCTTCAGCATCCACAGGACTACGACTATAGATCTGTACCCCCCTCCAACTTTTGTAGACGGTCAGGGACTTGAAGGAACCATTTCTTACTGCCACTGGATTTGAGCTCTGTTTTTGTTTTAATTTTACTTGGCCATATGGACTTTTTGGTAAAAATCTAAAATGTTTGCATCCTTTACATAGTGGTTCTCTCAGTGTCTAATTTGGTGACATTCAGGCCTGGGCCTCTGCATCACCTGTGACCCTGTAGCTGCAATGTGCTTCTCAAGACTCCTCCATCTGTAACGAATCATGGTGGTACATTACCCTCTCCAGCCACAGCAGTCATGTCACTCTGTTTATAGAATCGGGAGTCACTGTCATTCTCAGTTTGCACAAACCGGAGGTCAGCAACCATGATCCTGCTTCTACATGGTGGGAACTAAGGCCTAGACAGGTGATCTATCTGAAGTAAGGTGGGAAGCAGACTAGGTAACAGGCCAGGAAAGATCCCCCATGTGCCTTTCAGTGCTTGGTTCAAAACGCCAGACTGCCTCCTCAAACTAATGCCCAGATTTTAAAGTAAGTAGTTTTGAGGGTGGAGTTTCCTATGGAGGTGTCAGAAGCAACTCAGGAACCACAAGATCCAAGAGCCACAATCACATTAACTCTTTAGTAAAATGCTCCTGTCTTAGAGCAGCACATTATCACAGCTCACCAACAAGTGTTAAAGGACACACCACCCATTCAAGACACAAGCCTTGGTACATTGCACCTTTCCTGGTTTCACATTATCTCAGGCGTGACACCTAGACACAGCTTTCTTTGACACAAGACTCCTCTTAGCATGTGATGGGGTAGGGTTGATGAGGGGTGTGGGCAATCGCCAGTCATTTTAGGGACAATTCTGCCAGCAGAATACACACAAAACACATCTAATGCACTACATCTCTACCCTGATTCCTTTCTTTTTGGTAAGTTTTTTTTGTTTGTTTTTGTTTTACTTCCTGACCTTGATTTGCTGTCAAAGGGGATGGTGTGGTGGACTTCCCACCTTTTCTGGTGAACACATAGCTGACAGGTGGCTATGAGTGGGGTCAGTTTCAGCTTCACGGAAGGAGCGCTCAATGGGTTAAAACTGCCAAGTGATAACTAAACCTTCTGACCAGGGAGTGGCTTGGTATTTCAAGCACACCCCACCCCCGCCCTACACACACACCTCAGATGCTAAATGACCATCTGTGATGCACTGTCCTGTCTAATGCCAGGAATCCATATTACCAGAAACAAACTAGGCTAATAGCGGTCCTCCTGCCTCCCAACTCCAGGTCAAGAAAGGCACAAAGGAAACCAACAAATAACACTGAAGTGGTGCTCTGGATCCAGGAGATTTTGAGGTACCAGAAGAGCTCTGAAGGCCCTATCTGGCAGATGGGAAAGGTGAGGCACCAAGAAACTGATTAAATACTCCAGGTATGTGAGAGGGTACCAGGAATTTAAGGAGGGAAGATTCTTTTTTCCCACTAGGGAAGAGTGATACCCTACCAACACTAGCACAGCTCAGCACAGAGGCAATTCTAGACCTTCAGCCACCACAGGTAAGCAGCCAAGGATCCTAAATGGTCCTCAGGGCGCTGAACTGACTGAATCACAGCGGGAATCCTACACACTCCAGGGCTCACCCTAGAGACCGCATTCAAGGCTGGAGCTTTAGGCAAGAGCGGCCTGGGCAGGCACAGAAGGTAACTCTGCTTTGTAAGGCAATGGCTTCTGTCTGCAGGCCCCACACAGGGAAATGGGCAGCAGACACTTGCCTCCACTGGAATACACCACCTTCCATGGAAGCCTCATGGGGTGGGATGCTGCTGCCTAAGAAAACCATCACCTCCAGAGAACTCGGAGGATGGAGGGCTTCCGTTAAAGCCAAACAGCGTCACCAATCCACCCTATGCCATTTGGGAGAATAAGAAGTGATTATTATCTGCAGATGATTGTCTAACTAGAAAGCCTAGGGGTTCAACTGAAAAAAAAAATATGGGAACAGGAGAAATTTGCTCAGGTGTCAGACTAATAGTCCCACACTCAGAACTAATAGCTTTTGTGGTTCCTTGTGCATGAACTAACATCTTCGAAAAGCTGTGCTTTCTTGGGAGACTTTAAGGTCTGTGCAACTTGTATTTCAAAAGATAGAGGTGAGCCTGGAAGATATCCCCTTGGCTGCTGCAACTTAAAGTTGTCTTGGACGCAAATGTCAGAAAGATGCCCAAGGCAACTGTGGCAGAGAGAACCCGACATTCACCTCTGTGCTTTCTCCTAGGGGACCCTCCCTCTCCCTAGCTACTTCCTATTCCAACCCAAAGACACAAGTGGATGTGCCTTGTCATTTCCAAACGACGTAAGTCTGTAAAATAATGGCGGCAGACGGAAAAGTACCACGTCTGGCTTCTCAGTGCCTCATGATTCATTAGTCCGGAGAGTTCATGCTGTAACAGCTGGACTGGAGATGCCCGGAGTTTGGTCAAAGTGACTAAGGAAGGCCCCACCTGGAGGCCATCTAGCTATACAGAGCAGCATGGCCCGCACATGGCAGCCGTCATTTGCGGTCCAGGCTGGCTTGTAGCTGGGCCTCTCGCACCATGCGGTCAAAAGAGCGTGTGTTGGTCTCCTCCCGCACCTTCTCCCGCACATGAAAGGAGGCCCGGGCTGTGGAGCGGGCGCTCTCCAGTGCACTTCGCCGTTCCCGAGAGAGCTGCTCGCTGCGCTCCAGCTTCCGCCCAATGGCCTGCAGCAGTTCCCGGCGGCGGCAGTCTTCATCCCTCTCCACCTTCTCCTTGTTGGCGCGCTGGGTCCTCTCCTTCTCCAGGCGGGTCTGAACCACGCGCCGCGCCTTCTGCTGCACCGCCTCCTCGGCCACCTGCGCCGCGTGCTGCAGACGTCGCTCACCCGCCCGCGCCAGCGCCTCCAGGTGGGCCTGATGCTCCCGCTCCTTGCGCTCGGCCGCTTCCTTAGCCCGCCGGCCCTGCAGCTCCTCCCTCCGGGCCCGCTCCCGCAGCTCCCGGGCTCGCTGCTCCAGCAGCTGCTCGTAGTTCTCCTGCGCGCGGCCCAAGCTGGCCTCCAGGGAGCTCCGCAGGCCCTCCCGCTCCTCGTGCTGCTGCCGGACTCGGCCCCGAAGCAGTACCTCGTGGCGGGCCCGCTCGGCCCGGCTCAGCTCCCGCTTCTCGCGCTGCTGCTGGCCCTCCTGGCGCTGCTTGGCGCGCGCCGCTCGCTGGGCGCGCTCCCTGCGGGCCAGCTCGGCGCGCTCCCGCCCCTCCCGCAGGCCCTCCTCCCGCTGCTTCAGGTTCTGCTCCTGCTGCAGCTTGCGCAGCCGGTCGTCCCGCGCGGCGCGCTCCGCCCGCTCCCGCCGCAGCAGGCCCTGGCGCTCCGCCAGCTCCCGCCGCCGCTCCTCGCTGCGCTCGCACTGCTGCTGCCTCCTCCGCGCCGCCTCCCGCTCCTCCCGGCCCCGCCGGCCCCGCCGCTCCTCCACCTGCGCGGCCCAGGCGCGCCGGCCCTGCTCGAGCGCGCGCTGCTTCTCGCGTTCCTCGCGCTCCCGCCGCTGCTCGGCGCGCATGCGCTGTTGCTCCCACTGGCCGTGGGCCGCGGCGCGCTGCTCCAGCAACAGGCGCTCCTCCTGGTGGCGCGCCAGCATGAGCGCGGCGATCTTGCGGTCGCGCTCGGGGACCCCGCGCAGGCCTCGCTCGGCGCGCACTTGGCGGACGATGCGCTCCACGTGTTGAGCGGTCTGCGGCGAGTGGCTCAGGTCTCCCAGGCTGAAGCTGCGGGCCGTGAGCGGAACCAGAGCCAGGGCGGAAGGGCGGCCCAGCGGGTTGGGCGCGGAGGACGCGGAGCCGGCGGGGCAGCTGTTCCTGGCTGCAGCCCGAGGCGGCCAGCGTAGCTCCCGGAGGCTCTCGCCGCTGTAGGACGACGACGAGGCGCCGGACTCGGAGCTGAGGGCGCCGTCCCGCCGGCGCGACAGCGAGTCCAGCGAGTGGCTCTTCCTACCTGTCCGAGAAGCCGCGGGCGGAGGCCGGGTCCTGGCGGGGGGACTCGGAGAAGTCCTTCGGGCGACCCGCGAGGCGGGCGAGGCCGGGAGGCTGCTGCTGCTGCAGCTGCTGCTGCTGCCCGCGCTCAACGCCGAGGAGGCCGTGGTCGAGGTCGGGGCTGCAGCCGGACCCTTGGGCGTGAACAGGCGCCGCTTCTCCTCGCGCATGATGCGCTCGCGCTCGGCGCGGCACTGCTGCAGTTTGGCCAGCCGCTCGGCCTCGTACGCCTCGTACAGGCCGGTGGCCACGCGCATGGAGCGGCCCGGGGCCTCGCGCACCAGGTCAGCCAGGGCCCGAGGCAGCAGCTCCACCGGTTTGACCGCACAGCGGGCGCAGGCCTCCAGCGAGCGGGGGCTGGTCAGGACGTAGCGGCTGCCCTCTGCCTCCGGGCAGGCGAAGTTGAAGAGATCGAGGTGCAGCAGCGGGGACTGCTCCCGGCGCCCACCTTCTGCCCCGGATGGGACTTCGGCCTTGCGGGGCGGCGCTGCCGAGGCGGAGGCCGAGGCCGAGGAGGCAGCCGGCTGCTGGGCTCCCTGGGCCTCGGGGGGCACGGACGCTGTGGCCTCATCCCCTTCTGTGCCGCCGGGCTCCGCTCCCTCCTTCTCCTCTTCTGGCACCGGGTCCACCATAGCTGAACCCCGTCCTTTGTTGGAGTCCCTGAGATGACAAGGAAGGGACATAGAGGAATGCATCTGTGAGCTGTTTCTCCCTCCTCAGCCATATTTGCCCCTCCCAAACTTTAATCCGATTTCGGATTAGGCTCAGGGGGCCTGATGGAACGTAAATCCTAAAACCGATGCCCTGAAAACCCAGGCTGGGTAGCTGGGGTGAGGGGACGCCGGGGCTCAGACAGCAGCTTCGGTCTCCCTCAGTCCTAGAATGCAGGGCCTGTGGGGGAGACTGCACGGGCCTGAGGCCGGCTAGATGCATCCTGCAAAGACTGTGGTGCAAGGCAGCAGGCAGCGAGGGGAGCACCGGAGGATTCCCGGGAGGATTAGCTATTTGTTTGTAGCTTAGGCGGGCTGCTGGGATGCAGCTTTGCAGGAACACAAAAGGGGAAGCGGCCTGTTCATGCCAAAGTGCATGGCTGCGAGGGCCCCAGTTGCCTAGGAAGAAGTTTATGGTTGATTTCTCTCTACCAAAAGGACCCGGGGCGCGGGGCCCTCGGGAGATGAAAGGGCTGAGAGAGGTCTCCAGGGGCTCCTCTGAGTGGAGTGATGGATTCTTTCTCCTGCCTTTTCCTCCAGCCCTCAGCCGGTGTTTGCCCGGGATGCACAAGGCACCTCCATCCTCCCAGATAGATGCATCCGGTCTCCAGGGCTGAATGTGTAGCCAAAGGTACCATCAACCCCAGCATGGTGGATTCAGACACCAGCCCCTGATGTCCACCGATTCTTTCACCGCATCTTAGGCGGAGTGGGCTCTTAGAGCGCCGTAAACCTTGCCACTCCTTGCTGGGAGCTGCCAGGTTCCCCGGGCGATTTCACTTACCCCAGGTCCGGGCTCCGGGCCCCCACGCGGAGGGCTTTTGTTCACCTCTCGCTGCTCTCCCCAGCACCTCTTCAGTCCCTGCGCCGGCGGGGTCGGGTTACGGCCGGCTGCCGCAGCCGGCGTCTCTCCATGGGAGACTACGAGCGGGGTGCACACATCCTAGACGCTAGCTACCCGGGGGAAGGGGAGTGCGACAGAGTCTCCCTAAAATATCGTGGCTCTACCCCCTTGCTCGCACTGATTCTTAAAAAAGGAAGCTGGGTTCTTCCCTCACTCGCCGCCGCATCTATCTCCACCTCTACCGCCAAGGTACCGCAGGTCTTTCGCCGCTCCTGGCGCCTCCTGGTGGCTAACTTAAGGGTGTTCATTTGTTTGCTTGGAGGACGACAAAGCAGTTAAAAACACTACTCTAGCTACACATTTACGTGTGCATATATAAGCACATGCATACATGTGCAGTACACATCTACAGAGAGGTGTGGATCTAGCAATTATCACCAGAACCCTGGTCTTTGGGCACCTTAGGCGGGCGGCCTAAGGGATCTTGAGAAGCCAACAAACCAGCCAGTAAGTAATTGGATAGAAATAGGGCACCTGGTCCAAACAGCGATTTTATTATTTAAGGAAAACTAAGATGGGAGAAAGAATGAGAACAAAGCATACTGTCGTGTTATGAAGATGTCATCACCTTCTGTGCTAACAACAAAGACACTTACAGGGGCTTGAGGCAAGCAGAACATAAGTGACCAGTGAATGCCACTTCTGATGAGCTGCTGGTCCCATTAATGAAACTAATTAGTGCCATTTCATGAGTGTTGTTTGATGATGCCTCATCCCACCTCTTCCGTCTTGAGTGGTAGTGGTCAGGGAGATTCCAGATTAGAATCCTCCAAGGAGTGGGTGAGGTGTAGAGAGTATGGTGAACTATGCTGGTAAAGAATATGACAGGGGCTGGGCAGTGGTGGCACACACCTTTAATCCCAGCGCTCAGGAGGCAGAGGCAGGTGGATCTCTGAATTTGAGGCCAGCCTGGTCTTCAGAGGGAGTTCCAGGACAGCCAGAGGGGAGAAAACACACACACACACACACACACACACACACACACACACACAAGAAAGAAAGCAAATGAAGGTTTTGAGCAAGGAAATGACACAAACGTACTTTATAGTTTAGGAACATAACTCTAGCCACAACAGGGCAAGGCAAAAGAGACTATGGAAGCCCAGTTAGGGAGGCACTGCAGTTCCCAGCACAAGGAGTGTTGGAGCCAGAAAGGGAACAATAGTAGGAAAAAAGTGTGGATTCAGTAGAAAGGGGCAACACTCAAAGGTACTTTGGCCCTAGGGTGTGAAGTGAAGGATCAAGAATGGCTGCCAAATCGTGAGAGGCTGTGTGTGTGTGTGTGTGTGTGTGTGTGTGTGTGTGTGTGTGTCAGAATGACAGTGGATCCAGGAGGGAGGATTACCTGGCATGGGAATTCGAGTTTTGGACAATTGCCCCTCTCCATCAGTGGAACATAGAGCAGGGCTGTTGAACAGGTGGCTGGGTGAGCCATGGTAGAGGTCTGGACCTAGACTGAAGATGTCATCACCTAGGTTCCTGTGCTGGCTAGCTTTTTGTCAGCTTGACACAAGCTAGAGTCACCTAAAAAGAGGTGACCTCAGCTGAAAAAAAATGCACCCCTAGACTGCTCTGTGGGCAAGACTGTGTTGCATTTTCTTAGTGATTGATGTGGGAGTGCCTCCCATTATGAGTGGTTTCACCTCTGGGCAGGTGATCCTGGGGTGTGTAAGAAAGCAGGCTGAGTAAGTATTGGGGAGCAAGCCAGTAAGCAGCTCTCCTCTGTCGCTTCTGCCTCCGTTCTTGACTCTAGGTTCTTGCCCTGAGTTCCTGCCCTGACATCGTTCGATGATAAAACTGTGAAGGAGAACTGTAAGCAGAAATAAAAGTCTTCCCTCTCCAGGTTGCTTTTGGCCACGGTATTCCATTACATTTGGAATCAAATATCCAATGAAACTGGCAGCTAGCAGCCTTGTGGTAACACTGGCACAAAACAACGAAAGTGTCTTGTGCTGGGAGCAGATGCCAAAGTGGGATGGCGGTTGAGGGAGTGGAGGTTTGACCTGCTCTGAGGTGGTGGTAAGAACTCTAATGTCTGCACTTTACCCTGTGCACAGGCTGGCAGGTCAGCCCCCGTGGTGCATAGACGCTGGCAGAGGACACAGTACTCCTGGGCCAGAAACAAAGGACCTTGTACTCATGTTCGGAAAGAACATGGGTTTGTGTTCTTTATCAGAGAGTGCAGCCGGGTAGATGCTGCACACAAAGCAGGCTTATGTTATGGTTTGTTACATAATGTTAGGGGTGGAGACACTCTAATCATTTAAAGGGAGCTATGAGTTCTAATCTTTGTCATCAACTTGTATGAACTTAGAGTCACCTGGAGCCACACCTCTCGGTGTGTCTGTAAGGGCATTTCCAGAGAGGGTTAGCTAGAGGGGGAGACCCAGTCTCCATGTGGGAGCATCCTCATCCCATGGTCTGGGGCCATGGACTGAAGGAAGGAAGGCGATGAGAGGCAGGGGTGTAGCTCCATTGGTAGAACACTTATTTGGGATGCACAGAGCCTTGGGTCTGGTTTCCATCACCATGTGAAGGCCTGTGTAATTACATGCCTGTAGTCCCAGCACTCACTCAAGAGGCGGAGGCAGAAAAAGCAGAAAATTCAAGATTATCCTTAGCTACCTGGAGGCTACCCTGTGCTGAATTACAAAGACCTAGTCGCCTGGGAAAGAAACAGGAAAATGGAATGTGTGCTAAGCACCAAACACTGTATCTCTGCTTCCTGACTATGGACACAATGTGACCTGTCACCTGCCTCCCATCTTGATGAAAGGTACCCCTCTGAAAACAGGAATCAAAATAAATATTTCCCCCTTAAGCTTTGGCTATAGCAATGCGAAGAGTAGCTACCACGAGAGCTGATAGCGAACATGGTCTTGCGTTGCCCCAAAGGAGGCATTGTTTTAGTTACCCTGCCTGGCAAAGAAGTCCTCCCCCTGCCTGACCTGGAGGGAGACACTGTCTCTACTGTTCAAGGATGTTTACTCAGCAAACATCCATGCAGTAAAGTCCACAAGAGGCTTTATAAGACATACAGCATGAAATAGAAAAGGAGCGCTTGGTCACGTGGCTAGTACAAAGACCATCATGCTTTGTACTTCCACTTTAAACTGTGCACCTGGAGAGATGCAGGTTCAGCTAGTAAGGAGTGGGGTGGGCAAGTCAACATCTCCATGCCTGGGTTTTCCTCTTTCTGGAGAATCCCATTAAATTATCTCACAGAACTAGAAAGACTGTATGCAAAATACATAAGCAAACATTTTCAGTGAGCAGTGGTGAATGCCATTTATTTTAATAAAGCATGTAGATATGGTCAAGCCAGTAGAAACCACACACACACACACACACACACACACAGGCACACATCCAAAATCAACCTTGAATTTGCCAAGAATGCCCTAAAACTCTTGATCCTCCTGACTCTACCTTCCACGTGTTGGGATCACACAAAAGTGAAGGGCTGGAGTCCATTCCAGGGAGAGTCCCTGCCTCCCAAACATCAGGATGTTTCACCCAGTTTCACTGTGACATGTAGCAGAGAAGGCAATACCCACCTGCCCACAGTGGCAAGGCCATAATGGTGGAAGGTGGACTTACCAGGCTGTGTTATTTCAGGCAATAACATAAAAACCCTTTTATTACATTATGTCTGTGACTATATATCGTGTGTGTGTGTGTGTGTGTGTGTGTGTGTGTGTGTGTGTGCGCCTACAGAGGCCAGAAGAAGGCATCAGATCCCCTAAACTTGAGTTATAGGCAGTTGTGCCCCCCTCCCCCACGCACATACCGTGTGGATGAGGAGAACTGAACTCAAGTTCTCTGGAAGAGCAGTAAGGGCTCCTAACCCCTAAGCCATCTCTCTAGCTTCCTGACAAGTTTGGGGTTTTTTTAGCCCCCCCCCCCTTTGAGTTTTATCTTCTGAAATATTTATTTTGCCTTACATCAGTTCTTAAAGATAATTTATTGAGTTCTTTCATAGGCCTTTTAATTAATTAGACTAAAGCAAATTTATTGATTTAGACTAAATTCATTAATTTAGACTAAAGCAAAACAAAGCGAAAGCCCCAACACACAATGCACACATTATTATCTTTATTTAAATTTATTTTGCTATCAAGCACATAATCCCAGCACTCTGGAGGTTGGATCGGGAGGCTGGAGGATTTGAGGCTGCAAGACCCTATCTTAGATGCAAGCAACAACAAAAACCCCAAATTCCTCTTGTCAGGCCTCTTCTGCCTTGGCTCTGTACACTCTATTCATTCCCCCTCAAAAAATGTCCCTCTTCTCAGAGAAGAGGTTTTGTTTTGTCCGTCTTTCTTTGCTCTGATGTTCCATGTCAATGTCTGATTCCATTACCAGGTCCAGGCTTTCGATAATCAGGTTTTGCTGGAACACAGCCACACTTACTCGTTTGCATATTGTCTGTACTCCTTGTGGCCAACATCAGTAGTTTTGACAGAGACTACATGACTCGCAAAGCTTTAACTGCTTATTACCAGGCTCTCGGTAGAATTGTCCCAACCCCTGCTCTAATGACTGATAACAGCTTATGTCAGTCATCAACTTACCCCTCTAAATCCACCCTACACCACCTCTGTTGTTATAAACAATGATGAAAATCCCAACCGTTCTAGGTAACCAATAAAGACTCAGGAGCCAGATGCTGGGGTGAAAATCTCCTAGCTCAGGCAGAGAAAGCACCCAGCTGACCTTCCTTCTCAGCTCAGGTTTGGATGGAAAAAAACCCCAAAGGCTCCCTAGCTCAATAGACAGCCCTCTAGGAAAAGTCTAAAAAACTCAAGGCCAAAGGCTTGCTAGTTCAAAGCCCCAAAAGCCAGGGAGCTGAGGAGCTGAAGCTTAAGCTAAAAACCTTTTCTACTTCTTAAATACCCCTCAACTCAAAGACCCTCCTGCTCTTTAATCCCTGTTGGCTGGTTTCTTGCTTTGCCTCTTGTCCCGTGGTTAACTTTATTAAATCTGGTGTACAGAAAGCTCTTAGGATTAAAAGGTGTGTGCTAGGGCTGGCTGAACCACACCATCATCACCTGTTTATAATAATCAGAAAGTTCTTGGATCAAAGGTGTGTGATAGGGCTCAACCACACCAAACAAGAAACAGGGTTTTAGAGTTCATAATTTTGGGGTTCAGA